ATTCTCGATAATCAACTTCCGGCCACACATAGATGAATTGATGTTAATGTATGCGGTTGATCTCATAATTTTTTTAAATCGTAATTTTTATTGCGCATTCGTAATATATCTGAAGTGTATCGATTCTTGTATAGACGTGCAGCGTATGGTAAGCCTCGTCGTTAATTTTAAAGAGATATTACGTGTGTGATGGATGTACGAATATTAATGAAATATTGAAATAAACAATGTTATACGGTGTTATGGATTTTACGCAATGTTCACTGTGGACTCCTTCAGAATTTTGTGCGCCTGTTTATGCGGTCGGATTAGAAGAAGAGAAATAAAAAAAAGTATACATATACATACACGTGTAAACACATGTATATTGTGTGTAACTCATTGTTAATTTTGCAAATTTCTATTTGTTTTGTGGTTATCACGTAGTTTTACTAATTACGCAACGACTCATAAAACACGGCCAGATTATACGGGGATGAGCCTCGTGACATCACGTATTGCGCGTAATGTAAATCTGGATGCTGGCAATTTGTCAGCATTTTGCCCGGTTTTTTACCCCCTCTTACGGTAGACTACACAATACGGAGTACATTTTGCATGATGCATGCACGCGACGCTGAAAACGCCAGCAAATCGTCTGCACCATGTCTCGCAATTGCATTGTTACAAGCGTCAAGTGTTTCGTGCATTGTTCGTGCTACATGGCAATTCTCCACGTGGTATATAACCTATATACTAAAATAACAGTAACGACAGAATGTAATGGAACCTTTTTTGCGAAACGTTGTCGGATTTCAAAAATTTTATTTACACGGGTACACGCGAAACTGGCGTAAAATGTAACACACAGCTGCGCAAAAAAAAGTTCAACAAAAAGCAGTCTTTTTAACACGCCAGAAAAATATTTTTCTAAATTTTATAAATGCACTTTGGACGACTTATGCCAATGAAATTTAAATTTCTTCATTATTATTCACTGCATACATTCCAATTGTTATGATTATATTAAAATGCAAAAATTGAATTGTTTTAAAAAATAACGATAAATCAACCTACATTTTTCGCACACAAAAACACGGCGTGAATACCTTTATATTTATTTCACCCAATAATTCTTCTTTAGGTCGTTTCGTTCTATTAGATATATCGTCCGGATATTATGGAATGTCGATATTCTCAATAGGATGGAAAAAAATGGTTGGACAACGGACAAAAGCGTTGGATATAATCGTAAATTTCGGCAGGATGGTAGTCGAGTAAAAAAAAGAAAATACTTATATAGATTTGACATTACTCTGTATGCAAGTGCATAAAATATAGATATCAGTGCAGAATTATGATAAAACTTCTTTAAATTTTCACTCGTGTTTTTGAGAGGCACTTCAAGTTGACAGAGTGACACAAATAAAAATACGCGGCGCTCGTATAATTCGACAATCTGACTGGTTTCATCGCGTGCGCGCATGCAAGTATTTTCATTTGCATGAATAAATATGTCACGCCCCGCTTATCATCGCGTTCATAATTTTCGTCGGATCTAAACTGCGCCTCCGACCGGGAGCGCCGGGGCTTACATAAGAATCCGCGAAGAATTTTGCAATTAAATAAGGCACGCCGCCGCGCCACGGCGGTAGACGACGTGCGGGCACACACGAAGTATTAATGTCCTCGTGAAACGTTCATTTCCAGGTTTCCGCGGACACGCGAGCTCGGCAGCATGCAAATCGATGTTAAGCCCGGACATTTTCCGTCGGCTCTAACCGTTTCCCCGCGCAATCTCGCGCAGCAGTTTCCGCATCGAAACATTACCCGTGACACGGAAAGGCACACAGTCCTTGCGCAAACGTCATCTGCGGCAACAGCGCCGTGAGATTGGACTATCTCGTGCATTATTTTCGACGTGTAGTTACAAACTGCATTTCAAAAAGAAAATTCGCATGCAAATTTCGCCGCAGCTGGCGTAGCTGTTTTCGTCACCTCGTAACGATTTTATTACGGTTAAATGGGCTCCTATCGATCAAATAATTGCTCCGGCAATTTTCTTTAATGGATTTCCACTTATTCGTTACAAGAGCAACCGAGTGCTACCCGGATGAAATGGGAATTATCGTGATTACTTTCTAAATACGAAATGAAAAGCACGTCTTTTAGAAATTTCGACTTGTGTCTATATAATCTCACGCTCTTACAATTTTAATAAGTATTTGCTTCGGTATACTGATAGTCGTTGGTAAACGTTGCTATATTTTCGGCCAGAGCTTGCGGTTTATCGTATAATGTGACTCAATTGTGCGATTCAATATATATATATATTTTTTTTTTTTTAATTAATCGATTTTGATGAAAACAGCATTTTTTATCAGCGATTTAAATAAAAAAAATGTCGACATATTTTCTTGTTTGGATAACGAGCGTTGCAGAACAGTCTAGAAATTATGCAGATGATAAAGTATCCAAAGCTCCGACTCGTCGATTCAATTCGATATTGAATATTTTATATTTACGATACCTCTCTTTATCGTGCCGTGCTAGAAATTTTCAACTTTAAGCTCGTTATACCGCTGCGCCACATGAAAAGTTCGATCCTCAAACTCATGCCAGCTTTTCATTTACACCGTTTAAAATGAATTATGGATTCTCATTTATCGTTTTGTGCGTGCAAAATTCTCCTTTCTCCGTTATATCATCATCTCGATAATGTCGAATGCTCCGTGCAATTTACATGTCTGCATATTCGATGCTGATGACGTATTCGCGATGACGTATTATCCCGACATAATGAAACACTTGCTGAATAATCGCAATTTTAACTAACGCTAACGAAAAATTTCTCATTTACAGTATCAGAAGATGTTTCTCGATTGAACTTGAAAGATCGAACTTCGTAATTAATTGAAAGGCAAAGTAAAGTGATCGATAAGTTTCTCCGACAGTAATTAAGAGTTCGCCATTTCCTGGTTTCATTAATGTACTAAACAAACCAATTTTGTTATGTAAACTCGAAGAAGGAAGATCGTGTAACAATTTGAATTCAATTTATTTCGCAGAAATAAATTAGATTGCAAACTACGGCGAGAAAGCGTTATCCGCGTAATGAATATTGTAATGTATTCATATTATAAGTCATGCGCTTATAAGATGCAATTTAGGTACTTATAATGCTGAATGAATATTAAATTGATGCGAGATAACTGCAATCGAGCAGGCAGGTATAAAAAGAAGTGGAAAAATTGCCTCTATGCCTTTCTATTATATTAATTG